ATTGCTACTAGGTTGGAGGCCATCGCTATTAGGTTGGAGGCCATTGCCACTAGGTTGGAGGCCATCGCTATTAGGTTGGAGGCCATCGCTATTAGGTTGGAGGCCATTGCTACCAGGTTGGAGGCCATCGCTGTTAGGTTGGAGGCCATTGCTACTAGGTTGGAGGCTTTCGCTATTAGGTTGAAAAGACATATGGAGGTTTCCGGCCCCTCAGTCGAGGCCCTCAGCACTTGAAGGACTTTGGCGTCCAGTCATTTGCAAGACCCCAATAGCAATGGCCTCCATGCTACTTGCGATGGCTTCCAGCCTAGAAGCGTCCAGTCATTTGCTTTTGCAAGGCACCATTGGCGTGGATTTCCGGATCCGCCGGATGTTTCTGGACGGAAGGCCGGGGTTTTAGACCACGAGGCTTCGTTGCCCAAAACCAAGGTTTTAGACGATCGCGCTATGAAGGGAGGACCAAGGGTGTGATTCTTCTGGGACCATCGTGGAGCATGGTGGATTGTTTTGTTCCTCTCAACTCCATTCAGAGCTCTGGGATGTCACAGAGAAGGGAAGTAGGGCCTGTAGGGGCCTTAAGAAAGCGCCCCAAACGCTTTCTTCGAGAGAAGGGCTCCCACGTCACCGAAGGTCTACCCCCATGTTTGGCCCAGTAGAAAACTCATTCGGAGTCTGACCGTCCGAGTTGCACGTCCGGGGCTGAGCGAACGTCCTGGGCGATGCCAATGAGTCAGGACATTCTCATGTCCGCTCCTGCGCTCAGTCGCTGGTTACATGTCATTTAGATGGGGGTCCATATAAACCACCTCTTGTGGATTGTGTCATCTACTCTGAATCCACTGTAGTAGCTTCTTGCTAGCGATGCACCTTGTTACTAGCTAAGTCGGCCGATGCGAGGCATCTGAAAGTGAACGTCTGGGATTTGTCGGGGAACCCACGCTTCAGTCTCAATGCCCTGGCGCGGGCGGCCTATTCCGGCATCAAAGGCGAGGCCACGGGGAATGCATGTGTAGGTGAATTCGAACGCTGCTGCCTCGGCAGATTTCTTGGGCTTCGGTTCATAAGTCAATGGACCTGTAAACAACACTGGAAGAGATGCGGCAGAGATGACCCGTCCTTTCGTCGGCCACCAGAGCTCCGGTCGACCGGACGTCATCGGATGGAGATGGTCGCCACGTCAGGAGTTTTGGTGATTTTCGACATGACGGACAGAGAGACTTACAACAATGTCCTACATTGGATCGAGGAGACCGTCAGGCCGAAATAGACGGCAAGTGAGTAGCATTTGAGGTAGCTGCAGGTTGCTTGTAGTACTATTTACTGTAGGTGGGAGGCCATCGCTCTTAGATTCTTCGCCAATATTTGGAGCCACGCGGTGATTTTTCGCCTAGGGTTCAAAGGAAGCAGGTTGTGATTGGGGATTTGTGTCAGTCTTGCAAGGTGAGGAATACTTGATGTCCAATGGTCGGACCAGCAGTGTCCATTTGGAGATATCCTTACGAAGGGGCTTTCACGGGCGGTATCTGGTGACCTAAATTTGTTTTCATGGTGCGCAATGGTTCATCCAACTTTGCAGGAGGTACGGCCCAGACGAGATCAGGAGCCGGCTCGGGCAGGCATTTCTTGACGAACAAGCAGTTGCTCATCAGCCCCATTTTTCCGAAATCGAGTCGGGATTCATCTCTTGTGTTCTAAGGATGATCAATTCGCGAATCTGGGTCTGGTTGAAAATCAGTTCTCACCAACGAAACTGAGAACTTCTCTCCATCCTCTTGGATTTGATCTCATGTCGGCTTGCGGGAGGAGATGTGTATGATTTTGATCGGCAACAAAGCGGATCTGTCGCACCGCCGCGTGGTGTCCTACGAGGAGGCGACACGACCGACCGTTGCTGTGGCAGGTATGGGGTGCCAATGCAACTGGAGGAAAGGCAAAAGGAACCGTTCCTCGTTCCTAGTAGCGCTCTGGTCACTAGTAGTAAGGCCAGGAGCTCCTAGTAGTGTCCTTGTTCCTAGTAGCGATGTCAGGAGCTCCTAGTAGCGTCCTTGTTCCTAGTAGGAACCGTAAAAATTAGGATCATGCAGGTCTTTGAGTTTTGATGTTTCGTTCGCATGGGGCAGCCTGCAGCTGCCGTTGCCCTAGTGAGTCAAGATTTGGAGGCTGTATACGGATGCGCACGCGCACATACAGTCAGTGTATGAGCGATAATTGATATGATATGAGTGATCCAACATATCCCAACATATCGGATCCATTTTGGCCAAGTGTCGTGGTCCAGCCTTTGCTTGTGGGTGACAATCATAGGTTGGAGGCCATCGCTTCTAGGGTGACGATCTATTGAACCGCGAGGCACAAGACAGATGGCTCTTACCGGCAGATGAGACGACACACAAAAAAACCCGAGGCGGCCAGTCTGGCGCAACGGATGGACATGAAGTATTTGGAGACCTCGGTGAAAACTCAGCAGAATGTGGAATTGGCTTTCGAGACCTTAGCGCAGGACTGTCGGGCTTTGTGTAGCCACGGGTGTGAGGCTGTCCAGGTGATGAGCTCGATGTGTTCTGTCCAGTTTTTGACCGAAGGTTCATTGGTTCATGGTGGCTTGAACAGTAGACTCAGTAGACAATGAAAGAAGCTCAAACTTGAAGTCACATCCAATTACTGTATGTCATGGTTTCTTGATGGTTGTAAGCAAGAGTCGTAGCTACGCGACTCTTTCAGTTGGGTCATACGCACAGGAGGTGATGCGGCAATACTTCCCACGTCGACGAGATGATGTGAAGCAAAGGGAGAGCTGCTTTTGTCTTGGAGGCCAGGCTGGTGGAGATTAGGTGTTCAATGCCGTGCACGTGTGGGGTCTGGTAGCAAAGATAAGCCATTGCTGAGGAAGTACCTGTGTTTTGAGGTGCCACAGGGAGTATGGCCACATCGAGGTTGCTTTGGGATTCCGAAGCGAGGGTTTTGACCAGATGCTGTGTGAGTTATGTAGGGGTGGGGTCGGATTACATATCGAAACTGATGATTTGGTGTGGTCGAAGCCTCTTCCTGCCAGGATGTTGGTGATTGGGGCATGATCCTCGAGATGCTCATGGTGCCGATTTCCTGGTAGAGCTTCCAACAGACCATCACAGATGATGGGTCATCATCTTCATACTCGTGGCGATGAAGAGCCGCTCGCGGTCTTTGTGGATTTGCTCCGTCCAAGTGGCGAACACGGCCACGGTCTCCTATGTGAGTCGGGAGGTCCAGCAGTTCAGGTCCAGGTCTCCTATGCCGCTTTGTGATGATCTGGTGGACATGGCAGAGGGGAAGCCCTGTTCAAGAGCTGCTCCTTCACTTCTACGTCGAACTAAAGGATTTGAGAGCAGGACGCTGCGGCAGTCACTTGCTATTCTGCCAAGGGAGAATGGGAGGAGTGGCCTGTGAGAGTGTGAGTTGGTGTGAGGCAGGATGCAGGCAGGTCGGCCAAAGTTGCTTGGTACTGCGCAGCACTGCGGATGAAAAGAGCTTGAGCAGCCTGAGTCTGTTCCTTTGCCAAAGAGCAAGGTCTCTGAAGATACTCAACACCTGAAGTGGATTCTCTCTTTCTCTTCTTTTTGAGCCTGAAAAGGCAGCCGGGATGACAGTCCCTTTGTTCTTTCTTAATAGTGATGGCCTCCAACCTAAGAGCGATGGCCTCCAACCTAAGAGGATGGCCTCCAACCAAAAGCAATGGCTTCCAACCTAGTAGCAATGGCCTCCAACCTAATAGCAATGGCCTCCAACCTAATAGCGATGACGTGTCTCTTTTTTCTTTCTTGATGTGAATGAGGTTGCTAAGATGCTTACTGGAGGTTTGCTACGAGAACGAATCAGGCCGGACTTCGGAAGATTTGGTAGCTTGGGGACATGCTGTTTGTGTTCTTATTCTGTTTGCTTCCTTCCGGTCTCTTTTTCAGACTCAACCGAACACCCTTGTTCAACCTAGATTCAACGTAGATTATATCTGTTGACAAAAAGACCTTGCCGGAGGCGATGAAATAGATTCCCCTCGTGTTCATCAATTCGATCGGAGATGTTCATGATGTATAAAGCACTGGCTGCACCAAGGCAAGAGCTGGGCATTGACATTGGTGCAAATCTGGCGTAGCTGGGCAAGCACTCCTCCGCCGCCAAGAAGAATCATCTTCGTTCAGGGAATAGTAATAACTTATAATAACTTCCTTAGAGTTTATCATGCCTGGTATACGTACATCGACACCACAGAGATGCCGACTTCAAGGGGTGAGAACCAACATAAAAGGCACCTCAAGTGGTGACCAAGAGTCCCTACCAAGTCCGAACAGCTTGCCTTGAGATTCCTCAACTTGATGCTTTCAACACCCATTCCAACAGAGCCTTGGATCTTGCAGGTCCTAATACAACAGAGCTGAGAGCTGTGTCTTTTGACGGCTGCTCGGACCATGCTGACTGACCGGTGCATGCTGACCTAGAAGCTCAGGAGTGCGGAAGAGTTGCAGGACTGGATGGATTGGATCATCGAGGACAGGCTATTTTGCTGCTTCGTTGTCTGAGGCTGATACGGTTTCATGTGGCGAGTTGTTTTGGCATAAATAGCAAGAAGCTACTATAGTCGGTGGAGGCCATCGCTCTTAGGTTGGAATATCATCGCGACGAACGTAACAGGGGCATTACTACTAGTAGCAATGATCATGCTTGGTGACCTGCAGCTTGTGAAGAATAGGTTATTCAGCTGTTTGTGTTGCCAGAAAAGCTAACGGTGATGGCAAAGTCTTAATGGCTTTGAGGTTTGGGAAACGGTTGGTCGAACATGGAAAGGGATTCGGGGCCGCCCCGATCATGGTTGGATAGCCCTTCTCATGGGCTTTTGAAACATTTTGTTTGTGAGTGACATTTTGTGACCAACCAGAGGGCCCGAGGGACACCATCTGGAGAGGAATGCTGAGCCCTGGCTACCTGGCCCTCTCATTATAAGAGAAATGGTGCAAGGCGGACACCGGATACTAACCCCCTTTACAGGCGGACCTGCAACGATTGCGGCATGCAGTGGTTCAACTGGTTCTTCTGATTGCGGCGTGCAAACTCGTTGTTTGTCCTGGTGCAACACTGCTTTGTGATGTGAGGAGGCGGTCATCTCAGTCTTAGACGTTGATGGAGATGGTACGATCAGCCAAGCAGCGCGCCACCCAGCGCTGTCTTTTTTGCCGCGGCCACGGGGACTTTTGCCTGACACGGGGTTTTCCGCCTTCGGCAAGGCTCGTAGGGTTTTCGGCATGGCCTACTCTGGAAGAGTGGATTAGCTACAAAAGCATTTTGAGGGATTTGGGAACACCCCCATTCACATCCAACAGCTGGAAGAGGGGTTAACCTTCATGAAGCAGGGAAACGGAGGGAGTCAGGATGGCAACAACCAAGTAACCGACCATAGGGTGACCCTTTCCAGCGGTGCTCGTGGTGCTTGTTGCCGGTGCATTTCTGCAGGACAATTTGTTGGAAAGAAGATGCGCAAGAAAATGTGCACACTGAGTTTGGCCAGACTGGTTCGGGGACCACTCTAGTCAAACACTAACCGGGGTGAGCTGGCAGCGGTGCAAGAATTTCCAGCTCAGAATTTCAAATCACTCCTTTCCCGCTGTTCCCTTGCTCCTTTTGCTTGAGACAGGAGACATAGTCGGGTCCTTTTGTCAAAGAATGCTCGTGGCAGCTTGTACAAACATAGGTGCATGATTGGGAATGGACCGACAGCCTCGGGAGCCTCGGCCCGTGCAGCCTCGGGTTGGCCAGGAGTTTTGTGACCTCGGCGAGGATCTCAGGGGCCAGGCCCCTCTTTCAGGGAAGGGAGTCACAGAGGGGGAGATGCCTCTCTTCAAGAGGCGTGGACAAGTGGTAGGTTGTTTTCGACAGAGAATGTGTTGACGGGGGCTTTGTTTATTCTTGGATTCTTGGCTTACTACATTGGGGACCAGGTGTTGATTCATTCGACGACAAGCCCAGAATCAGTTGGTCGTTGGTCGTTTCCACCTTGGCAATCCAGTGTTAGAGACACAACCTGCTGCTGCATTTTGTTTGACCGACCTCTCATCCATGAACGGACGGTTGGTTCGCATGAACTGCCGACCTTTCACTCTAGCCCAATCGCGGTGACTAAGCACTTTGTACAAGGAGCATTCAAACATGTTGACCAAGTGACTATGACTAATCATAATCACTTGAAATCAACACCTTTCCTGCTTGGCCTTCGGAGTTGTGAAGTGAAGCCCCGACTCGCCAGCTCGGCAGCTCCGACTCCCGAACGATGTCGTTCTTCACTTCGAAGGTGGGCCACTTCAAGGACTTAGCCCAGGCCTTTTCACAACAAATCCTCGACTCGTCCAGCAGCTGCCCTCGGCCACTGAGCTCAGAGTCAGTGACGTGGTACACCGAGTCATCAAATGACCGGATCCAGATCTGTTTGCAAAAGGTGAATCATGACGTCACGAAAGCATACGAAAGCTAGCGTCAGCTAGCTGGAGTTACTCTTGCTTTACCAGACCATGCTACCTTTCGTCACCAACCCCCGGCCTCTGTCCTATGATGACCACAACATATGACATATGTGACATGTTCCTTCAGACAGATCTGATCCTCATGGGCTGGATGGTGGACGAGATGTGTGGAACGAAATGATGACTCAAGGAACGGTGAACGATCCGATCGAACAACACTCATGGACGGGCAGGTGGATAGGTCAGCTCGTGATGGAACGGACGGACCCGCTTTAAACAGTTGTAGAAGCACTGTGTCTGATTACCAGATGTAGAGAGATTACCAGATGTAGAGGGTTGTTTTGAGGCTGGATTCGGATCCAAACGAACGCCTATGACCAAACCAACACATTGGACCGATGACACCGGTGCCGGGCAAGCCTCGGATCCCAAGTCGTCTCTCTCTCTCTGAAGCACCGCGACGGAGGTTTGGCGGCTTCTACGTGGTGGCGGAACCCAGGAGCTGTGTAGCTTCTACTTCGGCGAAAACGCACGCGGGTCGTTAGGACAGGAGGCCATCGCTAGTGGGTGAAGGTCACCGAATGTTGTGGAAATATGAGATAAGAATATGAATGCATCAGGTCAGGCTTGGGTACCTTTCTCTGGACAGACAGTTACGATCCACAGCACAACATCACTAAAAATATATTTATCATGCCGGTTATCGACACCTTACCCCTTATATCTCCTTAATTGGGAGCAAGGACGCTACTAGTAACAAAGGGCATCGCTACTAGGAGCAAGGGCCTTACTACTAGGAACAAGAAGCTAGTAGAAACAATATATATAACTTAATTTTTGTTTCTACTAGCTTCTTGTTACTACTAGTAAGGCACTTGTTACTAGTAGCGATGCACTTGTTCCTACCTTAAAACCTTGGGTTGGGGTTGGGAACCATCGGAACTTGAGCGGCCACCCCTGTCAGGACGGACCAGAACTCTGCAGCTGCCGACGCCATCGTTTTCGTCAGCTGTCCCGGAGAGGATTCGACAGCATGTATGGTTTAGGTCAGGCCTTTGCTGCTTTGGTTCAGAATGGAAAGAGGTTTGAGGTTTCAGCGGGCCCATCACTCCTGACCATCTCCTGACGTGATCCCTGGTTCACCAAAAAGTGTGTGATTATCACGAAAGTTGTGAGGAATGCGCCATGGCCCAAAGCAGTTGGTCTCGACTCGAAACAGTTCTGGGACTGCCCAGCAAATGCAGAGAAGAGTTGGATGTCACTCACCCACATGGAGACTGAAGGAGTATGATCGTCTTTCGTTGCCGTGCTAGGGTTTTGAGAGCAATATCATGTTCCAGAGGCAGCTCAGTGGTACTTGTGGGGAACTGAGGCCAATGCCAGCAGCAAACATTCTGCAGCAGTCTACCAGGCAATTGCGGAGTGCCTACAGGGCCATAATTAGCTTTTTGGTCACAGCCAATGTCACGGCTGAGATGGCAAGGTCTTAAGGCATCCCTGACCGGTGCATTCTTACATTTGTGAAACGAGCGTCTTAGATGATTCCTAAACCAGACAATTTTTCACCGAATAGTTTTGGCCAGAGTCAGTCTGATGAACCTAAGTAGTCCCCGGAAGCCAGTGGAGACGGGAATGATCTATTCAATACTTAGCTTGAAACTCAGGTAACCACGGTAACCACACCTATAAACACGACTCATCTAGCCACTTAACAAGCCACAACTTGTAGCTTGGTGCACGTTTGGATCCTGTCAATCATGTCCATGCCAGGCTGCTCTCACCAATGCCCGTTTGGCACGCCTGAGGACGAACAAGCCGCTTGGTCCGCTTAGCGCCGCGCCGCGAAGCTCAGCTCCTCGCGCCGTGCGTCGCGAAGCTCCTCGAGCCGCGCCAGGACGGTGGCCGTGAAGGTGCATCTTTTTCCACAGACCAAGGTGCTCCGCGTCTGCGGTGGGGGAGCTGTGTCAAGACAAAGACCGACCTGGCGCATCGTTATCTTTCGTTCTTTTTCGC